AAAAAGGCTGTAAATTTCCCCAAGTTAACATTAGACCTGAAATAACAACAGACTTGTTATTGTCCACCCACTTCCCCACTTCCCTAAATTCTCTCTTATAATATTATAGGATTCTTTAGGAATAGAGCTCTAAGAATAGTCTATCTTATTTATCTTTAATAAACATATATTTGATCTATAAACTATTGTCTGTCCAAACTGCCACGGACAGAAGAGTATAGTTTCTCCAAGAAGCAGAAATTATACTTACCTGTTGGACACTGCTATAAATCTGTAAAGGATTCCTGTAGCTGTGTCATTGTTATAGTACTGCTGTTAAGAAGGCCACGGTACTGTAATAGTATAAATATAAGTATAAACATTAATACAAACATAAGTACTAATGTTAAATACGAACAAAGTATAAATATAAATATAAATGTAAGTACAAACATAAGTATAAATATAAGTACAAATATAAGTACAAACATAGTATAAATATTATTATAAATGTAAGTATAAACATTAGTATAAATATAATATAAATATTAATATAAATATTAGTTTAAACATTTTATATAAATGTTAGTATAAACATTAGTATGAATATTTATATAATGTTTATTTGTTTTATATAGAATATCAATTTACTAACAGTCCTATCTATAATTTGACTTTGATAAATTCTAACAGCTTGAAATATCCTTGATATAAGAATGTTTCACTCTAATTGGAACTGGGCTCACTTTGAAGAAGAGTACATCTATATGACCCAAACCAGTTTGAAAACTGGTTTCTAGCCACTATATACTTTCCATCCAAAATGAAAATGATTATTATTGTTATTATTACATAACAAAACTAAAGTTAACTGTTAAGATTTTTTTTTTTTTAATATTAAGATAATCACTTAGAGGTTTGACACGTTTTATTAACTTTGGTTGTAAATGCCAAAGTAGCTACAGAAACACCACTGACTTTGTTACATTAATGAGAGTATATTTTAACTATACCTGCACTTTTTGAGTGTCTAATTAAGTATTTACCTATTACTAGATTCTACACTAGATGCCATATCTATAACCTACTATTACTTGAGTTATCCAATTAAACCCTTTAATTAACTTAATACTGTCAAATATTTTCCTCAAAGAAGAATTGCTGCTAAGACTTTTTAAAACTATTTTATCTTTGTGATAAATCTATTAGAGCAGTTTATGTCTCACATATATATCATCTAGATTTTTAGTAACTTATACTATACCTAGGTCTAGGCCAATTATTTGCGATATTTCTTTGCTATTATTACTTACTTCTTGTTTTTGCAGTTTACTCAAACCCCAGCACACACTTTACAAACTAACATCGACTTTTTTTCACTAACAGTGCCCCAAACTCCCAATTCAAATAGCCTGGAGAAGGACCTGTAAACATCCTCTTGATATTTCGATTGAATCTTTTTCCTTGTTTATATGAGGCTACCCTGTTTTGGTTGGTATTAGTATCTTGTCAAATATCTGATCTTCATCCAGTTTATTGCTGATATTCAATTACTGATAATTATCCTTTATGTAGTACTATCAAATATCTGTGCTACCTCTACTTAGAACTTGCCAAGTGGGATTCTATGTGCCTTAGTACTTGAATTTATACAAACATTTCACTTAGATTTTGTATAATTTTTGCATCACACTATAGTTCTACATTCTTTCAGTACAAGCTGATATGACCAAAGCTACAGATTCAATGATCCATCAGATTACACACAGTCTGCTATAACAAATTTCTTAAATTTAAATTTTGTTGCTAGTGGAATTCAAACTCTTGTCTTGCCATTTGGAGGTGCAACAACTTACCAATTACACTAAGTCACCACACCCTTGTTAACTGTTAAGGTTAGGGTGTTAAAGTTAAACTTTAAAAGATATCTATACCAAAATTTTGCAAGAAATTTTTTTTGTTATAATGCAAAAAATAGTTTTATATACGAAATTTCAAGGTTTAGCATTACACACTGATCGTTCGTGTAGCATCTACATATCTAATGCTAATTGGCTAGGAAACCGGTTTTCAAACTGGTTTGGGGCACATAGATGCACGCCATAAAGTTTACTCATCAAAATCGATGAAGTGAGAGTTAAAACCTGTAACCAATCCAGGTTTTCGCTCTCACGCGCTCATACCAATCAAATTTCAAGATAAGGTGTAGCGTAACACGATCAGGAAATAGTCTTCTGCGCCTTGAATCAAATTCTAACTAAGTGACAAAGCCCTAACCATAACTAACAGTCACCTAACAGCACAAAATTTTACTTCTACTCTAGAGCATATGATCCAACCAATCACATGAAGTCATATGATAGTATGATCAAATTACATGAAACTGCTTTACCGAAACTTACACAAGATTACATAAAATTACGTAAATTACGGCAATTTTACAGCCCTATGCATTACTAATCTATTTTCATGAACTACTCAATGTCATCCGAGTATTGAAACATGTTAGTCTAATCTTATGAAGTCAAATATATTGAGGATTACATAATAATATTAATAATGAAGATTAAAAACTTTATTTAATAAATAAACGAACTATAAAATGTAATGTATGCCTATCTTCTTAAACGTACAAAGAATGCATTTTTACACCCTAAACTCCCATCAGGCAAGTACTTGTCATAGAAATTTACAATAAATTCTTCAGGTTTGAACCCAAACTTTTGATATAGAATCTACATAAACGAATAATATTATTAATAATTTCATTATCAAAAAAAGAATTATCTAAAGTTTTGAATACCATTGCTGGATTATTTGCTGATACATGAAGAGTTACATCTTTTCCTATGTTGGTCTAGAATTAGAAAAATATATATAATATTAGTGAATATCTCAAAAAAAAAAAAAACCAAACAAAATTACAATGTTTTATGTATATATGTATATTAAAATTTAACCTGAATCAAATGATACAACATAAACCTAAGGACATGAGAAATATACAATCAGTAATTACGTTAACAAAGGTATTGATAACAAATAATTATATAACTACTTACTGTCCTATTCCTGATTTTTCCCATCCAGGTGCAACAGCAATATATGTGATATAAGCTTCCGGTGTCATAAACCCACATCCAATCACCAATCGCTTGTACATGGCTACAACACTAAAATCTGGGAAAAGGAGGTTCTCGGATACTAAACAGAACAGAAATATAAATATAATAATTGTATGTATTAACAAAATTAATATAAAAATGTGAACTGACTCACCATCAATGCTTGGCCAAAAACATCTTTGCAGCAAATCATTGACCTGACTCAAATGTTCCTTTTGGAAATAACAAAAATCAATAGGACTAGAAGGTGGTGGCAACCAATCTGGTTCATTACTATAATCAATAAATAGTTAATACTTTGATTATAAAAATTTTTTTAAGATATCTTTATTAACGCACACCGATAAGCATATTTAACAATTTCTTGTAATAAACATAGTTTTGGTGGCTTTGTTTCATAATCCCTGCGGATATATGGCCTTAACTTTCTACAAAAAGGACTAGTCCAAGCCTCTTCCACAGTAAGAGTAGTAGCCAAACGAGGATTGCCATATAATCTTGATGCGAATGAATTCTTGTATGGAGTATGCGTGATCTGTTAAACGCAAAAACTTTAGAATTCATTTAAAAGATAAATTAATTGATAATTTGCTTGAATATATTAAAAAAAAATTATACTTTAGCAATCTGGTCTAAAAGTTCAATGTCAGACGTTTTATTAACTTCAAAATTTTTAACTTCATTTTTCTTTAATTCATGAAGGTCTTCCTCTACTGTTGTCATCAATTCTAATGCAGACGTGGATCTCATTTGATCAGAAACAGCTGCGTCAATGTCAAATATTTTTAAACCTAATCTTCGCTTTAACTAAATTAAAGGATGATGAATTTTAAATTCATATGCGCGTAAAATATGATTTTTGTTACATACCCTTCTGAGATGTAATTTTCTTTTTAATCTACATGCTTTAGGTGACATAGGACTCTCAATATTTTCTAACTTTAATAAGAGGTTCAACTCTTCTTTGTGATCCATTGGAATAGGCTTCTTTTTCCTTGGTGGCTTCACTGAAACCTTTAAAGCAACGTATAATGAGTAAAAGATTATAGATAACTAGTACAGAATATTTAATTAGCCAACCATATTGGATTTATCCTCAGTCCCATCACGTACGACCAACTTTAAACGAAGCGGTACAGTCGTTTCATTAACTTGATCCGCGGTTTTGATTAAGCTTGGAGCAGTGTTTTCTATATTTAAATAAAAATAATGAATTTAAAAGTTGGTTAGCAACGAAAAGAACCTTTCTAAATAAAGTAACTCACCAGTAAGATTATTAGGGTACGATACTCACACCGTTTTCGTCGTTAGTACCTCGTGAAGCCCAAATGTCGGGAAAATTTTTTTGTGGAATAAAAGTATCGGAGAAATCTCGAAAATAAGTTTGTTCAATGGGAGACAGTGAAAAAATCGAACGAATTTTACTTGCGACCGTTGTTGGTGGTCTACCTCGCCGTTTTTTTAAAAGGCACATCGTTGTATGTTCGTTCATTTTTGACAGATAAATTATTTGATAATCAGAGTTTATGATAAAAATCTGTATTCACTGGTGTAACAAATTATCTTGCTCTATGTAACAGCGCACAAAATTTATTTACACGTTTTTATATAAAAACTATTGCAAGTTAATTATTTTAGTATCGAATTAAAAATAAGAAAAATTGCAATATAATCATTAAACATTTCAGACATTTATTTTAATTCTATATAATTGGGAAAGTGTGAAAAAACTGAGCCCACTTCCATTCAGAAGGAAAAACTACCACCACTACTATGGCTACCGAAACTTGAAGAATTGAATTCAATGGCCGAATAATAAATTGATTCATCCTGAACTGGAACTGGAGGACTGGATCGGGAGAAATAACTGGATGATACGATCGTATCGGCAGTAACAAATGATGCATCATTGACATCGTTTGTATCATCTACGTCATCGCCAGATTCGGCGCGTTTAGATAGAGCAGAAAGTTTCTGAGCGAAAATCGTTTTAACTTCATCACTTGGTTGGACGTTGCTATTCACTCGTGGTAAAACAGGTGTATTGACCACATCTGGAACAACAGGAACGTGTTGAGGTAATGATAGAACCTGGTATTAATATTTAAAGTTTAAATAATAAAAGAATAAACAATCTCTTATAAATATCTGTAAATCAGAGAAACAAAAAAAAAAAAAACTATAATGAATGAATTTACCTGCATGAAAGGATGTTCTAAAGCCTGCGAAGCTGTTAATCTGTCTCTTACATTGACAGTCAATAAGCCTCTTATTAAGTCTTTGGCTTCATGACTAATATGACACCACGCGGGGGGATAGAATCGATATATTCCCTGCCTTATTTGTTCTTCAAAAGATGGTGGACCAAAGTCTTTGGCGAATGGTGGATACCCACAAAGACAGACGTATAGAATAACGCCAAGACTCCACATGTCCACTGCTTTTCCGTAACTACGCCTAGGTGACCGATCTAGGACCTCTGGGGCAATGTAAAGAGGTGTTCCACACATAGTTTTCATCAAAGAATATTCAGGGCCAAGAAGTTTCGACAAGCCGAAATCCGTTATTTTGACTTGAAGATTTGCTTTGTTTGACATAAGGATATTTTCAGGTTTAAGATCTCGATGTACGATGCGATGATCATGCAGATACTAAATAAAAAAGGTTAGAAATGATTGATTTAATATATATATATAATATATATATATATATATATATATATAAATATACATAAATATATATAATATACCTTCATCGCTTCAAACAGCTGTCTGAAAATAACACGAGTCTCATGCTCAGTTAATTTCTTTTTTTTTGATATAAAATCGAAAAATTCACCATCTTTAATGTAATCCATAACAAGGTATAGTTTGTCACCTTCATTATATAGGTTACGGATGCGAACTAAATGTGGCTAATTAAATAAAATATCTAAATATGAGTCAGTCAAAAAAAAAAAAATAAAATAATGATAAAAATCATATTTATGAAAAAAAATTTACATGTTCTATCTTGTGCATTATAATGATTTCGTCATGAAGCTTCGCGTTTGGTTTTTTTGCCACAGTATTTTTATCAATGATTTTCACAGCAAATTCTTGAAACTTTGACTCACTACCTACGGAGTTCGCAAGAGTAGCCAACTTTACTTCCCCAAAGTGACCAGTCCCAAGAACACCTTTAATCTTATAATCATTATGAAACCTTCCTTCCGGCTTTAAGTCGATCTCTATGGAATAGCTATACCAATCACCTCTTGAAGAAGGAAATTTAATACAATCACCCTCCTTTAACTCAAAAAATTGGTTTGACATTAGTTCACGCTCCAAAACCTTAACTGCTCCGTTTCGACTGTAGCAACCAAAAATTTTAATAAATGAATAATAAGAACACGCATAAACACGTAAGGGAACGATAAAAAAATTGTATATACCTGAGATTTTGCAATTTAACGATCAGTCCTATGCCCTCGGAATATTCCTAATAAAACAAAACAAAAATGTCTTATCAGATTAGAAATCGATATCTTAAATTGTCAACGCGAAAAAAAAAACAAATATATACGTACTTTGAAGATTGAGCAATGAATCATATCTATTCTGGGATCATCTGGTAACCGCTAAAAGGAAAAAAAAAAACAAATGAATAACGATCTGAAAGACAAGTAGAGAACAAATAAGAAAACAATTACCTTAAATACAGATCCATTAGGTTGGTTTCCCAAATAATTCACCTTTTCAGTCAGATAAATAGACGGTAAGCCACGATTGTCCGAAGGCACGAGAGTAGCCCATGCATTGTGAGGTCCAATATATTGGACAGTACTAGCATTTGATACTGCATTCTGAGATCCACCAAAACGTCTTAAGAAGTCAGCAGGCATGAACCTTTTGTTATTTCGTGTAGTGGAGCGACGTGGTGGTGACATAACGTTTTCTGCGCAAAAAGAAAACGCTATTAGAAGCCAGACACGTTTTTTTTCCTTATTTCTAAACAGATGTATTTACCCTTCGGAGCAAAAAAATATCGTGTGGTGGTCGGTCAAAGAAAAGGTGTTTTATACCTGTATGCGTCAATCAGTGGCTTATTGTTGACTCGTGGGAAGAAATATGAAAATAAGGAAATAGATAAACAAATGACTATCGATATCAGTCCCTAAATTGGTTAGTTAATCATCACAACCATCATATGAAGAATGAGATTGATATCCATTTATAGAAATCATGATCACTTTAAAGTCCGTCTGTAGAGTAAAAGTTGGTTAAATGACCTAATTCATAATTCATTAGTAAATTTTTGAATGATTTCGATTTCGACATGTAATCATCATTACTCCTGATTTTTATTTCAAAAATTTAACAAAAGCACGCTTAGGGATCGCGCTAAGCAATTTCGTAATACATATTATTAAATTCCAGTTCAAGCCTGTGCAAACAGATCTCAATTAATCTTTTAACAATAAAAAAGGAGAAAAACAATAACGTATTTGTTTCTGTATAAGTAGTAATCTAATCTTTGTATGTTCTGAATTATACTAGAGTACATTCAAAAAAGATTACAATGTATGTATGTACGCACTGATAATGATGAAATTCGGTTAATTGGTTAAAACTATACTGCTTATACGTAACAGTTTATTTTTTTAGTCTATCTAAAATCGTCAAGAAAAATGCTAATTGTCTGAAGGATATGAGAGTTAATTGTTCGTCACTAGAGATGTTGATGAAATTATCTTTATTCGTCAACCCTGATGTTTGTGTGTGTATAAATTACTGGTTTTGATTGGTTATTCGATTCTTCAAGGGTTGGCGCAAACTGATCTTCGTTCTAGGATCTAGGATGTTTTAGTATTAGTTAGGTTAAGGTTTGATGACTATTATAATACTAAAATTTCGCGAGGAAAACTTTCATTAGTAGAAAGAAGGTAGTTTCATAGGCAAAATTGGATTATTTTCTCACTGCACCCACTCCTGAAATTTGATTGGCCAGCAACATTTTTTAGGGTGGTAACGATAGCTGATAGGGCGTTTAATAAATATGCAACAAACTTATTTAGTTAATAGACCGAACCACGAATCGGACAAATTAACCAAAGACTCCTTTAACTAAAAGATTGTTTAAAGGGACAGAATTACATCAATCCTTATCAGTAAAATAATGGAAATTACGAAAATAGCTGTAATGTTGGTATAATTGGGTTAGCACGAGCAAGGACAATCATGACCTGACCAATTTGGTCCGGTCTAAGGGTTTAGAGTGTCCAGCTATTAATAGTCGAAATAGTAAATTAGCAATCATCTACGTATACATTACCTATTGTTTAAAGTATCTTTCTTGATACATCGATAGCATTCAATATATCACGTTTTAGATCTTATTAGAATCCGGCCAATATATATCTATAAATTCAAAATTTGCTAATTGTTCACAAACAAAAGGAAAGACTTAAGCTTATAATTATTACATGAAATAGCAAATTTCGCCTAGCACGAAAACAATATAGCTAGCTATTTGTAGCAATTTGCCAGAAATAGCGCTATTTTAGATACTACGAATAACTGGACACTCTGGCACTGGCCAAATTGTGTTATATTATATACAGTCAACCCCCTCTATAGTCACCTCTATAGTCACAAAATTAATAATTATTTATAACTATATATATATATAGATATAGAAAATACCTCTATATTAGTTACACCTCTTTATATATAATCATGGTTTTTTGTATCCCGAAGGTGTGACTATAGAGGGGTTTGACTGTATATGATTACATATATATATATTTATATAAATTGATAGATCAGTCCTGGGTATAATCAATGTCAGGATATTAAATTGCTGAAATAATCAAATCCTGGGATTTTAAGAATGTTAGAAATGAGATCAGGTCATTTTTTCTGCCATAACCATCAACCCTTTTATTAATAAACTCATAATATGTGGTATTAAGATTTATACAATCTTAAATAAGTAGACTTTAATGTGGTTCAATTAGATTCGAATGTGGTTTATCAAATTTATTATATAAGTCGGTAAATCAATGTTCTGAACCTTTAGTTCATTATATGGAGTTCGGTATAAATGAATCGACTGTAATTTAGTATTGAGAAATTAGGATTTTTCTAAGTGAATTACTAAATCGGTAAGTTGAGAGAAATTTGTAAGAGATGTAGACTGCGGGGCTTCTTGAACTAAACGCCAAATAAAAGAATGTAAGAAAAAACAAAATAAAAATATAAGCCATTTTAAAATTGAGACTAAAATATTTTACCGATTTTTCTTGGTTGCAACATATTTGTTGAAAGGTCGACGGTCCATCCACGTTCTTCCGTAACTAAATTAAAATTTATCAATTTTATTCTAACGTTTTAGTCGAATCTCTTGTATAAATGATGTGGAAATCATACCCGACAAAACTTTTTCACGGGGCAAACCAAGATATCTGCCTACATCATCAATCGTAATGGAAGAATAAGCCTCTGATAAAAGAGCAAGTATACGCTCTCGTAGGTTTTCTGTGAAGATTAAAATTTTAATATACCGACAAAAAAAAAAAAACTCTACTCCCGTAGTATTAAGCACTTACCACCAAGCTGTTCCATTAAAGGTGCTATTAGGGGACTCCATGTATTTGAATCTATAAGCTTATATGTATTATCATAGTCTCTCTGCCACAGCGCAACGCCAACATCCCAAATTGACCGTAACTCCTTTGAATTCCCTTTAACATTGTCTCCCAAACGTTTCCAAAGAAACCTTGCCGATGGCCTATTATAAAATGGGCAGCGTCGAATAAAAGTGAATCAGTTCATAGCTAAACAATATATATATGTATATATTAAAAATAAAGTTATTTACAGGTCTTGCCCAAGTAGATAACCAAGTAGAAATGTGCTATAAAAGTCTTCTAAACTTATGGTGTTATTCTGTGTAAGAGCCAGCTTAAAAACGGTTTAAAGGGTATATTGGTGAATTGGTGAATTCGTGTAGTTTTTGCTTAACAAACAAAAGCAATAATAAAATTACTTGTGGTTCTAACTCTTCGCAGAAATTCACAAGCCCAGTGTAATCACGATTCGCAATATACCCCTTGACAGCTTCCATGGCTAAACGATGACTTATAAAAGTAATTCGCGTTTAAATTGATCTGTCTTTTAGAATGTGAAAATCACGGGTTATTTAGAATTAGGCCAAATTTCTACGTCTTAGCCAACTTTAACATAGGCCTGGTCTCTAAATTTTCCTTTTTGGTAACCAAAAAATTAAATTTTATTTCCGGCCAACATTAATAATTCCGAAGACATCGGCCTAAATTACTTTAATGCGGCGCATTTTTTTGTACGGCAGCTTATTTCCTAACACTAAAAATTTAAGATAAATCAACTAGTTCTAGTGTTTCGCAAAATGATTCGGATTCGATCCGCGAATCGATTTCATCGAACCATGCTAATTCGAATCCAAATAGGATTCGTTCGAATAGTATTCGAACCAGATCCATTATTACTAAATCTATATAAAGAGCAATTTCTTTTCTTGATTACAGTTAACTATGGGTATAAATCCATTATATATATACAGTGTCTGAAATTGGGTTGCGGAGCTTGCGGACCGCAAATGATTTATAAGTTTCCGCAACTAAAATCCGAAATATATATGCTGGTTCCGCAAATAAATTTGTGAATTTGCATCGAATTTGCATATAAATACATTCATATGCGCAACTAAATCCATATAATCCGCAAGTAAAGTTTTTTATTTAGTTGCGCCCGCAACTAAATTAAAAATTGAATTTCAGACACTGTGTATATATCTAAATTTATTAGTGAATCATATAAGGCCACACAAATTTAAAACTGTGTTTAACATAACCCCCCGAGCTTCAGATATTAACATCGTTTAATAATATAAAAATCATACGTATTAACTGTTCAAAAAATTTTTTTTTAGCTCGTTTCTTTACCCCCCCTCCTGTTTTGACTTGCAGATCATTTTATTAGTGTTATGTTAAACATATGATTTTTTTTAAAAAATTTTTATTAATAGATCCAAAATTCCGTTATATCGATCGTTGATTGTATTTTTGTGGGTGTTTTTAAAAAATCCACCAGTAATTCTTAACCAAAACTGTTCAGGTTTTGTTTGAGAGATATATATTGTGGTGGCTGAAGCTGAAATTGGCTAAAGCTGAAATTTTTGACTTGTTTTATTATGGAAATTTAAAATTTTTGGGGTACATTTTTTGACTTTTTTTTAGGGTTAGGGGTCAGCTTTATGGGTAGAATTTATAATAAACAAGTATAAGAAGGCTTTAGTAGGTTTTATGGATCTAAATTGAGACCCCAAATTTTCAGCCTCAGCCAATTTCAGCATCATGCCAACATATATTATAAAATGCACCTTATGTTTTTTTGCCTAGGTTTTATATAATACAAATTTTTTACATTAAGGTTATTACTTATAGTTAGGATTAAAATTTTGGAAAGGGTTTTCGGTGGCGTAGAACATTTTTACTTAGAACACCTCACACGCTTAATTAGCCAGTTTTTGAGATAATGCATGCATAGGTGCATTCTTGTAATGTCGCTATTTAAACTAGAACGATCATTTTTCCTTATAATCATACGTAAGAACCTTTATTAAAAACCCGTACATTATTACTGTATTATTATTACTGTATTTCTCTCTCTTTTTTTTTTTATTTTTTTTATTCTTTTATTGAGGTACTATCGATATCGTTAAAGATCTCTCACGGTCGGATCGAATTCGAACGAATCTTGGGATAATTGTTTCTCATAACAAAATTCTAAATACGATCCGCCTTTAATTTTTAACTACGTATACGTATAAAAATTTTATAAACTTTTTTGATTACGTAGAAAAATTTTAAAAAACTAATCCAGAAGTATTAATAGTAAATAACAAAATTTGGTGTTAAAAATTTACAAAAGCTGATCCGGCCGGGTTATGATTAACTTTATATAGCCTAATACCTTGTAAATTAGATACGTAATATAGTCATAAAATGATACTAATCAAAATTCTAATGGATCTAAGATGGATGAACAAAGTTTAGCCAAAGATTGTGACTTAACAGAGTTCAACGGCGAGAGTCTTCTTGACCCGATAAACCGTCTTAAAGAAATATTGCAGTCCCAGTCATCTATCTTTGATAGTCCTTCAAACGTTGATGTCCCCGAATCAACCTTACAAGGCCACAATTCTCCTAAGGCTTCATCCGTTGAAGCTTCACTTTCGTCTTCAGACGCTAATTCAACACATATAGAGTCTAATCTTAGTACTGCTCATACTTTACCAACACCCTCTTCTAATAATGATACATTAAATCTAACGCTAAAAAGAAGGAGCGTACCACCTGTAGCATTGATTTCAGCAGATATCAGACAAGTAAGGAGTCGCACCCAAAGAATTAACGCATATTGTAAGAACTTTTTATATATTCAACTTCAGTTTTGCACAATTTTAATAACAATTCTATATATTCATTAATCAATTATCAAAGCCGCAAAATTTGAACTGTTGAAAAAGGAAGATACGGGATTACGATCATGGCTCAACTTAAATATTATAAGAGAACTGCCATTGTCTATAAAAAGTATGTTTTTCATTTAAGCTATTATATAGAAACTATTTAAATTTGAAAAGTAATTTATCTTTACCTTCTCCTAACAGATTACAAAAAGAGATTTAATGAAACTTTACCATCCATTGCAAGTTTGGCAGTGACTAAAATTTACTCTAACCTTTCTTTAGCAACGAGCGCCAGTAGTCAACCAACCTTGTCATCGACATCGCGTGCCACAGATAGTTCTGCGGATGTAAATGTATCAGCTTATTCAAGTTCTCTGAATTCTAAATCTTTTGCGCGGACTTTTTTAGATATAACTACTCAAACCAGCTCACCCAAAGTTCATCATCCATTATCCCCACCCATGTCGCCCAAATCTAAAACGCCTAACATCTTCAATCTGAATAGACGTGGTAGTATTAGTAAGTCTGGTCGACCAATGATAAACATGCCTCCAGCTGTGATGAATGACCCATCTGCTAATTCAACTCCCTTGTCTCCAAAATCACCGAAAACAACTTCACCTAAACGTCAAAGGAGATTTAGTTTTCAAGCTGTTTCTTCAAAATTATTATTTGGATCAACTAACACATCGTCTTTATCTTTTCCAACTATTGAAGAAAAGACGGATATTAATTTGTCCAATTCAGTTGTCATTGATGAAGATGCTTTAAATAGATTATGCGACGTATTACCACACGCAGATAGGGATGTCTTGATAAAATATTTGCGTGCAGCAGGTGGAAAAGATGATTTAATCGCTGTTGGTCTTTATATGAAAGATTTAAAAAGCAGGGAAATATAAGCGTAATAGTTTATATTAAATGTCGTTTATGCACTTGACATGCTTCATACCATTTTTTTTACATCAGCCTTCATCGAGAACTATAACGCTTTATTATTTACCTTTTTTCTTTTTTTTCGAATTAAAGTACTGTAGTTCAATGATGGTTTAATATATTTTCAGTAATCTAATGTAATGTACCGTATTCCAAAATTATTTTCGCTTAGACATTATTTGTCTAAGTAATTAATTAAAAATACATAATTTAATTATTTAATTATATAACAAAAATTTATAATTTTTAATCAGATTTGTGGGGTATTTGTTTTTATATATTAAAATATTTATTATAAATTACGTTTAAAAAAATTGTAAACTGGACTTATTTTTTAGTATATAATTTAAAATTAGTAAAATTTGGTTAACTATTTGTTCTAAAATATTGGCCATAGCACACAGATTAGGAAGTGAACAAAGAGATATTCAAGCATATAATAAAAAAAATAGGTTTTGTCAATTTGAACAAAGTTAAAATAATTTGAATAGCATTTTTAATAAATTTTAAGAAACAAAATACAAATTTTCACAGATAGCACAATAGTAATTTAAATCTGAATTAAGTTAAAAATAATTTGAATAATATTTTTAATTATTTCTAAGAAAACAAAAATACTGTACAAATTTTTATAAATAGCACAATAATAATTTAAATAATTAAGAAAAAAAACAAGAATGATAAAAAACTGCTTAAAAAATATTTTTTGACAAATAAACAGAATTTAGAAGCTAAAAATTTTTTTCCTTTCGGCAAATCCTGTTTACTTTTTTTATTTAAAGAAAAACTAAAAATTTTAAAATAAAGCTTTATAAAATAAATTATAATAAAATCCAAAAAAATAAATAAATAAAATAAAAAACAAAATACTCAAAGGAAAAGTAACAAATTAGCAAAAAAATATAAAAATACTTAAAATTAATTATAGATTAATACTAATTATATTAATTAATAGCTTAATAAAATTTTGTAAACCAAATAATAAGTTTAGAAAATTTTTATTTTTACTATGAATTTTTGCTATTTTTACATAGTATATTAAGGATAGGGGGTACTTATATATAATCTCGTGGTATTTATTTTTCTTTTTAAAATTTTACAAAATTTTATTAAGCCAATTATTTTAGGCCATTAAGTAAAAATTATAGAGCATGTT